CGCAACTGATAATGGGTAGAATGAGAGAACGAAATGATTCTGTAAATAAGTGTATAATCATATGAAAGCTATACTTTAGCATATCATTATGTAACTATACTAGCACATAGAATATTGGTGTGCAATTTTTTTTTTATTTTTTTTTACTACAGCATGTGAAGCTTACTAGAAATGTTGTCAATCAATCCAAAACCAAAGTCAGAATAGACAGTCTACACTGAACCTCCAACTGGCCCAGGTCATACACATTAATCAAAGCAATCATATCTGATACTCTGTATATCACATAATGGTATGCAATTGTTTGTAATTGGTCACCCCCTCACAAATAAAGACATATTTAGTTAGGAGCCAAGGAGATAGTTCTTTAATGGCCCATTCACACCAGAGCATTGCGCTAAATGGCTTCCCAATGCACTTCCTGGCAACCATGCATTGCAGCACAACACACGGTACCACAATACTGCATTTCACTATACTGCAACACAATGCACAGTATTGCTGAAATGCAAGGCCGCTGGGAGGTGCTTTGGGGTGCCATTCATTTGAATGCTATGCACCTAACGCACAATACCACACACTAGATGTACTGTGCGATAGCTTGCACTAAATGCACAATACTGTGCATTTAGCACAATGCTCTGGTGTGAAAGCGACCTTTTTGGTGCTGTTGTACTAAATAAACTGGTCTGGCATGTTAATGTTACTAGTTACAGATGTGTCTGAATTAAAACTCTGATGGATTGTTGTATATGAACTACAACTCTGCATTTAGATGTTATTGTATGCTGCGTGTCCTAAACAATGGTCTAGACTCTGCCTGCTTTAGTTTTGACACACAGGAATCTATTTATATTGATCTGGAAAACAACTGCTTTATGTTTTGATAAAGTTCTCTTAATTTGACCGCTAAGGTTTCTTGAATAAAGAAATATTTGCAATGGACAGTTGTACTGTCGAAGTTAAAAATGGTAAAATGTAGGAAAACTGGTGGGAAAAAACCTATTAAAATAAGGTAAAATTTATGAATTTACCTTTACAGCTACCCAAGGCTGATGCCACCCAGCTACATGTCAAGACCAGCAGCATGCTGTTGGTCTCAACATGTAGCTGGGTGGCATCAGTGGTGTGGTGATAGTGATGTGGATAGAGTTGGTGTTACTCAGACATGTGGCTCCTCGGCGGCTGCTAGCAGCAGACACTGTCAGCTTAGTGTGGGCAGAACTAGTTACCAATGCCTACTGACTCCATCACAGGACGCCACAGCTTGACAGCTCACCCAAGGAAACATTATCAAAAAGTACACCATGCCTGCATCCCTAATGATCAGGGACGTATACTGTATGCCCTTAACGTTTCAAGATTGGGAATGTCTTCCAAAATACCCTACTAATCCATCAACATAGCCAAAAGTACCCTGTTGCTGTGTTCTCCCCTTCCAGACACTCTTTTTTTAAGTGTGAATTTAACTTGACTCCTTGACACTACAATAGGGGAAAGCCCTCACTGAGCTCAGTTGGTTAGGTTAACTGTTGTTACAGCATTATTGCTGTTACACTCTCTTTTATTTCCTGCTTCATCCACAGCATCTAATGTTCTCCTTCCTGAGCGAGGGCTGGTAATGAACCTGGACTACACAGCAACAAAACACAAGTGCTGAATTTCTGAACTTAATGGCATATATACACAATATAGCAGAACTAACCCAGCATGTGATAGGGGACACATCCACATATCACTCCATACTTACCACTACTGGTAGACACATACCTTACAGGGCTTTCTCATTTAATGTCAAAGGTATCAGAAAAAGTATTCATATAGGAAAGGCCTCTTTGTAGGCTCTCTCTACATGCCCACTCAACTACAACACCAAGAGCGAAAAGGTAGGGGTTACTATACTGTTAAAAGATACCTGTCCCTTCAAACTTTCCTCAGTGGTGAAAAAACAAGGGGCAATAGCTAATTCTGAAGAGAACGAAGTATGTGTGGTATAGTCCGGCATCTTGGCAGGTGGGACTACACCACACACGCTGTCTGACTTCTCTTATGGCAGTCTATGCTGAAAGTAGTTGATGCTTGGAACATACTTCCAGCAGAGGTAGTGGGCATGCCAACAGTAAATAAATTTCATGCTCTGGGTGATTTATTTTGACATGGCCTTGGTCTCGGGGAGACTGAGAAGATATACCTGTCCTCTAGGGGGAGCTGGGAATTAGATCAACGGCACAATAATAGGGATGCATGAATAATTATTAACTGGTTCACGAACCCGCAGCATCCCATGGGATATCCAGAAAAGCATGGAGGTCACAGATAGAGAGATAGAGACTGGAGAGGCCTGAGGTGGGGGTTGCAGGTTCAGTAGCAAGTACAAGACAGGCCTGTAGTTTATGCAAGTGGATAAAGAGGGCATGGATAACAGAGTCTTTGGAGACACAATGTGGGATCATTTGAATGCTATGCACCTAACGCACAATACCACACACTAGATGTGCTGAATAGGGATCATGGAGTCTCTGGAGGCACAAGAGCGCAGAGGTCGTTTGGAAGCACAGGAAATTAGCGGATGATGGAGTGCACAGGATTGTGCAAGGGTCATGGGAATGCACAGGAGTCTCAAGGGACATGGAGACACAAGAGTCTCAGGGGTCATGAACAAATATTTATGCTGAAAGCATGGGTGGCTTGACTTCAGGTGTAGAATGAGAGCACTGATTTTCTGTGGAACCGGCACCCCGGGCAGAGCCTGGATGTGCCTGCGGCCGTGCGCCAGAATAAAGACTTGATGCCAGATTGTGGACAGGGCCAGTGCAACAGGAAGCATAAAAGTATATGAAAACCTAATGACAAAGTCACCAGGATCCCCATAAGATGACAAAAATTGTTCAGTGCAGTAAGTAGAATACTATTAAAGCTACCAAATAACTAGGTAGTACCATAGCCCAAATAAACAAACCATTCAATTCATATCCAATCAAGTAGACTCTTGTTACCACATAGTCATTTATATATTTTTCTGATCTGATGTGCTCACTGTGAAATAGATTGAAGCTGTTCTGTCATCAGGAATTACTTTTTATCAATACAAAAAAAAATAATTGATATCAACTCTCGGGTCTACATGTACTGGTCACCAGGGATAATTTTTCAGCAATATGCCACAGTATGTGCCTAGGTATAGACAGAGGTGTATTCTGATTTGGGGCTGCCCTAGTCAAGGCAAAACTAAGGCGCCCCTCCCCCCTAAATTTACCCCACCCCTTCCTGTTTAATACTTTTTGCGTAACCTCTCAGTCGCTGGATACAGTGCACACGCTGTATCCAGCTTTTGACATGTTCCGCTATTAGCATAGCAGGAAAGCTGTGGTCTCAGGGGGGCTCTGCAGGGTCTGTAGTGGGCTCTGCAGGGTCTCAGGTGGGCAGTGAAGGATCTCTGGTGGGCTCTGCCCACCATAGACCTGGCAGAGCTCACCACAGATCCTGCAAAGCCCCTCCCCCACCTCTTTTGTGGACTGTGCAGAATCTATGCTGGGCCCTGCCAGCACAGTCCTCTTACCTGGCATTAGAAACCCAGCCTCCACCGCTGCCTCGGTGCCCAATCGTCACATCTTCCGACTGGAGCTCCGGAGACGCCTCCCGCCTCTTCCATCACTGACCCAGGACTCGATGAGGACTTCTATTGGAACATCTAGTCAGGCCCTGCAGGTTATTTACCATGTACTCCCAGTTACACACCACTGCCCCCCCTTCTCTGCAGATCATTGCACCCACGTATATACACCACTTTACTCATACATTGGAAAACATGACACCCAGTTACAGATCACTGTATTGCTACCCTGCAATGTTATAGCCCATTGCACGCAGTTTCAGACCACTTTACCTATACCTTGCAGAGCATTGCACCAGTTACAAACCACTGCACCTATACCTTGCAGAGCATTGCACCCAGTTACAGACCGCTTCACCCATACCCTGCAGACCATTGCACCCAGTTACAGACCACTTCACCCATGCCCTGCAGACCATTGCACCCAGTTACAGACTACTTCACCCATGCCCTGCAGACCATTGCACCCACCCAGTTGCAGATCATGGCATCCCTCGACCCCCTCTGGAAGATCTTCTCTGTCTCCTGGGTCAGTCGGTAGAAGAAAGTGTGCCCCAGCTGCAGCCTCTCGCAGCTCAGCAGACAGTCGGCCCTCTCCAGCACCAGCTCCTCCAGATGGGAACCCCGGGGCCCGCACTCCTCCCCGCAGCACAGCCAGGCCCATCAAAGCTCCCGCAAGGCCCTCCAGAGCTGGTCCCGGGCCCCGCCTCCTCCGTTGCCGTCTTCGAATCCCCATCTCCTCCATCTCCACCCCGCCTCTTTCATCTCCGCCGCCTGCCTCCTGCCGCTCCGTCCCCAGTATCCTCCTGCTCCCCCGCCTGCTGCTTCCTCCACGTTTACATTGGGCAGCCAGGCTGCCGGTTTCTGTGCAGCCCGTCTGCCTAAATGTTTTGGGGGACGGCATTCTTGCCGCCCTCCTGGAATCTGCCGCCCGAGGCGAATGCCTTGTTTGCATTGCGGCAGATATGCCCCTGGGTATAGAGCATTTACCAGTTTAGCATTGGCCACATATTTGCATTCCTTCACAGTTAAAATTAATAACACAAAGTATGGATACAAAAAAAAAACTTGCTGACCAAAGAAAGATAGTGGTAATTCACATCATATGTATACATCCCCCAAAATAAAACTTTAAGTGAACCAAGCTAACACATTTGAACATGCTTATTTTTTTACAAACATCTGAAAAATAAAACATTAATCAAAAACACATATTTTTTATTTTTTTAAGGTGAAGATTGAAATTATATGTGACTTTTAATGACAGATCCATTATTGGATGAGGTACATGGGCAAGGCTCTTAGAAGCCTTAGTAGCCTTGATACCTCTTGATTCATTTTCAATTGTTTACTTGTAACACCCGTGTTAGATGTCATTTAGACTTACCAGTTAGCCTATGCAGAGTGTCAAGACAATGTTTCACTGCTATTATATCCAGAAATGAAACTGTGCCATCTTCAAATCTGAAAGAAAACATACATATAACACAAAATTTCAGCAAAACATGGTAATGAGATGGCCTGCTAAAAAAAAGTTGCTAATTTTAATATAGTTTGATGCATAGTCTATTTTACTTGGAGGAAAAGCATTGTCGCTGTAATCATCATAAAGCATGCCATTGTAAGTCTAATATTATAGTACCATGATACTTCTGCCCCACATATTGTTCTGTTTTGCCAATAGATTACACTGTATATTACCGTCATTGTGCCTGGCATCTAATGGTGCTGATTGAGCAGGTGACCATACTGCCCAGATGGATTGGGGTCTAAAGGAGGTATGTTAATGCATACAGCAGTATTTGAAACAGAACAATGGTAATTTTCTTAAAGGAAACCATTTTAGGAGACAAATCAGAGGGGTAGTATAGCTTAACTCTAGGGATGCCCCGATACCGTTTTTCAGTATCCTGTACGAGTACTGATATATATTTTTTGGTATTTGCCAATACCGAATACTGATACCGGAAGTCCCATTAAGGAAGGCGGACAGCATGTAATGACTCGACACCCGTCTCCCTGATAACGGAAGTTCCAGTATTGGGATCATTTGAGTATGAGTACTAATAGCCCAAATACTCTGTATAGGCACTGATACCGATGCTAGTACTTAACTCTGCTGCTGAAAATTATGTCTGCCTGGCTTTCACTCTTCAATTCATTCACTGCCTGCCACTGACTTCAAACAAGCATGCACTTCAGGAATTCTGACCTAACTTGTTGCACACTTGTACCTGATCATTGAAGTATGGAAGTTATTTAGCACCTGTTATAATGGAAACTGACAAACATTAGTACACTATCTTTTCTATTCTTTTCTCTACCATCTACTTAATGCATATCTAAACCCAAAGACAAAAAAGGTAACATATGTCCTCTTCTCCTCATCTCCATTACCTAGGGAGGAGGTGTTTTGTAGTTACCAGAAGATAACTGTAAAAACTATTAACATTGTTTGACATATCAGTTCATTGCACAGGAAGTTACAAGGACAATTCAATTTTGGTAGGATCTATGGGTATTTTTTTGTACCTGCAGAAAATTTAGCAAGCACTGAGGAGAGGGAGAGGTTTGACTCAAGCAGTACAGCACTCCAGTCGCATCACCTGCCACTCTTCACTACTGCCGATTTACAAAATGTTTTTTATTTATTTAAAGAATACAGGGCATTCTGTGATTTAAGGAGGAGAGACATGTCATACCACCACCCCTCATCTCTTTCTATGATAGCTTTGATTTACTGGACAAAACCACCAAGTGTGGCTGAAGGAGCCTGATTGACCTTACCCCCTACATTATTTATCTGAAAGGTGCAACTGCATTTTTGAAGGCATATTAGCCTTCAAAAGCTGATTTTTAAAAACAAAAATTGTATTGTTATTGAAAAAAAAGCCAACAAAAATGGAAAATTAAAGAAATACAAATAAGTAATGTGAAGGCACATTCCAATAACAATGCAAAGCAGATTCAGTATCCATGAACCGTCAATTAGTAAATTGTACTTGTAGAGAATTACAAAAAATCCCTCTCCATAAAAGCTTAGAAGGAAGACAATATATTAAAAGGTACCAAATCATGGAGGCTAGGAAACTTGGGAATAATGGAAGTAATCAAACAAGCAGTGCCAAAGGTGTCAAAAAGTGAAGAAAAAAAGAGACATGAAAAACATGAAAGAGGAGGAAGGAAAAGTGGGGAATGAAAGATCGGGGGAATTAGGAAAGAAAAGTGGGAAGAGAAGAGAAGAAGAAAAGAAAAGGAGAAGAACAAGAGGAGGGGTTGTGCACCGCAGGGCTCAGGTCAGTATAACCTCAGTGGTAAAAAATTAAAGCCAAACACTCCAAACCTCATAAAACAGGGAATGGTGATTGTATAAGCAGGCAGTGAGTTCCTCTATCCTGCAAAGAAATTGCATTTCACCAACCCATTCCTTCAAAGTAGGACTTCCAATGTCTCAGTAGGACATCCCTGGCAGCCATGATAAAGTCTAAGCAACCCTTTTTTGGCCTCACAGAATGAAACCGGTCAAATATCCTCTGCCCCTGTGAGTTCGAACGGTCTACGCGTTTCAGGGGCACGCCCCTTCGTCAGAACCTGCAGCGCGTAGACCGTTCAAACTCACAGGGGCAGAGGATATTTGACCGGTTTCATTCTGTGAGACTCCCGCTGCCAGTGAATCCCTTTGCATCATCTTACATGCTTGTATCGATCGTCCCTTCTTGTGAGTACATTTCCAGCTGTGTTGCCCTTTGAATAAATGATCTTTTACACGATGGAGGCGCTCTGTTTTTCCTTGTATTTCCCAGATCGGAGGTCTTTTTGACCGGTGGGAGCTACCCCATCTGTGTTTCCACTAAAAACGTCCTAATTGGCCATCCTCTCGTAACCGGCGGCGCCGGTATTTGCTTGGCTATACCAATAGGGTGCTAAGGTACCCAAGAATGTTTTATAATGTAACACAGTAGAGCCATCTGGGCCTGGACACCTCCCAGTGGGTGTATCCCATATAGCATTTTCCAAATCTGACATATCTGATTGCAGCGATTCTAACAGCCCTGATGTAATTTTCTGAAACTTGAAATAAATAGGTGCCTTTTTGCAAACCTTTTGCTTGCTTCTGTGTCTCAGATTTGGAAGGACAGCTATTGGAGAAATTTGTAATTCTGCACAAACATATTTGCAATATATAAGGAACGGTGTAATAAGCTCCATTGTACTGCTTTATTCTGAGGATTACATTTCTGCATTTTTGAGTGTGAAGAGTTTGGTGCACTAATTACCTTTTTTTTTATAATAGCAGGAGTGGGTAACTCTTTTGAATGGGCATGTTGTGTTTTTTGTACATATTTTGTAACATTTTTGGTGTATTTTGATAAGATCTAAGGGATGATGTTGGGCTAGAGATTATAAGATCATTCAAGGTCTTTAATTTGATTTAAGAGTTTATCCAAATTCATCGAAGCCTGATTTTTATGCTTTTTACAGGAAGCTTACTACAAATACATGTTTTGTGAGTTTCCCACAAAATGGAGGGGGCTGTATTTTCTGTGCGATTGTCTAAAACTATGTTTTTCGGGTCTGTTATATGTGATATTAAAGTCAAAAGTTATATTAACCACTTAATGACCGGGGTGTTAAACCCCCTTCCTGCCCAGGCCATTTTCAGTATTCAGTACTGTGGTATTTTGACTGACCTTTATTTAGTCATACAAAGCTGTACTGAAATGAATTGTTTACCATCTTTTGGGGACACAGAGCTTTCTTTTGGTTGCATTTAATCACCACTGGGCTTTTATTTTTTAGTATAAAATGAAAAAAGAACTGAAAATTTTGAAGAAAAAAACAAACTATTTTCCCTATGTTATGTTATAAAACATTTATTATTACCCAATTTTTTGGTGGTTAAAGATGGGGTCACGTCGGGTAAATAAATAGAAATAGGGACACCGACACTCCAAATGCAGGTCAAATACATCTATTTATTGACATAGATGCAGCATATCACACTGGTGCAACGTTTTGGCGTCTCGCAGGATTCCCTTCCTCATTCATCACATGTTTTCCATGAGGAAGGGGATCATGCGAAACCCCAAAACGTTGCACCAGTGTGATATGCTGCATCTACATCCATAAATAGACGCATTTGATCTGCATTTGGAGTGCTGTGTCCCAATTTCTATTCATGTATGTAACAGTTGCCATCCGTTGACTACCGGAGAACCCAAACGATTCTTGTGGAATTACATAGTTACATAGTATTTGAGGTTGAATAAAGACATAAGTCCATCAAGTCCAACCTATTACGTGTAGGCATTTATGTTTGAGCTGGTGTGTGCGTGTGTATGAGTCCATGTGTGATTTTGCTCTTAGGAGTACCTGTATCCCTGTATGTTACGGTCTCCAAGGAACTCGTCCAAGAGTTTCTTGAATGATTCCACACTCTTAGCTGAAATCACTTCCTGCGGCAGTGAGTTCCAGACCTTAACCGATCTAACTGTGAAGAACCCCTTGCGCCCCGTGTGTTGAAATATTTTTTCCACCAATTTTTGATGGTGCACTCTGGTCTTTGTTACGGAGCTAACCGTAAAGAGTTTGTTAATAATGTTGCTGTCACCACTGTTTATACAAGAAAATCATGTCCCCCCTTAATCTCCTAACCTCCAAAGAGAACATATCCTGAACAGGTTGTACCCTTCTAATTAGTAGCCCAAATCGTGTGCACTATCTAACCAAGTTTCTGCTATTCCCACTATATCATAGTCCTCCTCGAGTAAAATAACAAGTTCTTCTAATTTATTTGCTAGACTTCTAGCATTGGTGAACATACATTTAATTTGTGTACTTTTATTGGTTAGATGTTTGCTCCCCTCTTGCTCCCCACTACTTTTTTTAATTGATCTTGTTATGGTTGGTCCATTCCTAATTGGATCACCTTGGGCAATTGGATTTACTTTATTGACTACATTGAGTATGTTCTCTATGTTGGCTTGATTGACTACTTTGACTACGTTGACTGGAGTGAGCCCAATATATAGTCCTGTATTTTGTCCTTCTGTGTTATTAGTCATGTTTACTTGTTTAATATTTAATTTTTTGGTTTTTATTTTACCCTCAGGAGTACGGTCAGGAGTGCGATGGGTTCATGGACTCATGTCGGGTAAATAGACACCAAACATGTCAAGCTTTAAAATTGCGTGTGTCTGCGAAATCCAAAAAAACTACCATGCCTAAAATTGGCCACAGGTGATGCTTTAATAGCTTTCACTGCTCAATTATATATGCGCGCACACGCACGCACACACACGCACGCACACACATACTCACACACACACGTGTGCAAAACAATGTGGGTACAATTCAGTAAAGGCTTTGCAAGACAAAACTGGTGTTATGGCTGTATCTATAACTATTGCACCAAATTCATAATAGGTTCGTGACAGTTCCATAACTTATACAGACACCTGTGA